AAGACCCGACGTCTTTTTCAAGGCCCGACACTCGATCCCTACGTCCTGCCGAAGACCCGACATCCTATTCAAGGCCCGACACTCGGCCCCTACGTCCTGCCGAAGACCCGACGTCCTACTCAGGACACGACGTTCAGTCCCTACGTCCAGCCAAAGACCTGACGTCTTACTTAAGTATCTGATTGTAATCTGATCACCCTTGGAGGTGATTCAGTCCTTTGTAACCAACTCAAAGTCTAGTGGAATCATTTTTAACTGGGCTAGGCCTCGTGGTTTTTCCCTTTTAAGGGTTTTCCACGTAAAAAATCTTGTGTTCTCTGTGTGTGAGCTAGTTATACGTACAATGCTAAGACGTAGAATTAAATCTCTATCACCGCGTATTTTCTAGTCCGCAACAAATTGGCGCCGTCTGTGGGAAAGCCAATCCCACTACACTAAGGAATCCTCCAATGGTCACTAGGCGTAGCCATCGCATCATGGGAACCTCCCACTCTAATTCACACCAATCCAAGAATCAGTCCCTAAATTAAGGACGACAAGCATCTGCCTCCTTTCACCCCGGTAACATACACCCTGCAGGAGAAGGAACTTCAGGGCCGTCCCTAGAAGAATGTATCAGAAAAATGGAGGAATCTCAGAATGAGATCCTTCAGCTCTTAAGGGGAGCTCGAGGACCAGCTCCGGTACCCCAAGAAGATACTCTTCTCCCTCGAGATCAGCCAGGATTCGAAGACATTCTTCATGTCGAAGTCCCCTTTCCTCCACCAAGGATGCGCCCTCCTACACGTCCAGAGAATGAGCTTGCTGATACAGCAAGCTCTGCCCATCCTTTGCACACAGGCCACCGGCAGCATATGCCGCCGGACGTCCCCGAGGACTTGGACCAACAGCACGTCACTGAACTCCCCCGTAATACTCTACGGCATGAGTTACGGAGACTAGTCTGAGAAGAGTTCCCCACATGGGGTATCAGGCAGTCCCTTCACCAACGGGACATTTAGGAGTCATCACCTTTCACCGAAGCTGTCCTCCGATACCCCGTTCCGGCAAGATTCAAACTCCCGAATATTGATTCTTATGATGGGACTTCAGACCCCTACGAGCATATCGACCACTACCGCACTATTATACATATCCAGCAGGCCCAGACGCTCTGCTCTGTCAAGTTTTTCCTGCCACCCTTAAAGGGCAGGCTCGGACATGGTTCTACTCACTACCCCCGCGGTCCATTCCACTATTCGTTAAATTGGCCAAATTGTTTGTCGAACAATTTGTCGCCAACCGAAGAATGATTAAAGACTCCTCCCACCTTTCGGGGATACGACAGAACGAGGGTAAATCTCTTAAAGAGTATTTTCAAAGGTTTTCTACGGAAGCCCGACAAATTCCAGGGGTAGATCCCGAATTGCTACGAGCTGTATTTCTTGGAGGGCTTCGCCCAGGCCCTTTCTACTCGGCACTAATGCGAGAAACGGTCCATTCTTATGCAGATTTAATCAATCGAGTAGAGGCCCAAATCACTGCCGACGAAGCCATCAATGCTCATAGAAAGCAATTTGAACAGACAACTGGGAAATGTAAAAATCCCCTAGGGACGGAGAATCTCTCATCACAAAGGAAGAAGCAAGGAAGGTACAATCTTTCTCCTCGGCCCTCACAGCCGCGACAAGAACCTCGCCAAGAGAAGGAGTACACACCACTCAATATATCCCGAGCGAATGTATTGATGTCCGTCCGAGATCAGGAGAACATAAAATGGACACACCCTTTAAAGCCCAATGTCAGAAACCAGGAGCAATATTGCCACTTCCACCGCAGCCGTGGACACACTACTGAAGCATGCAGGCAACTCAAAGAAGAAATTGAGAGACTGATCCGATAAGGGTATCTCCGACAATTCATTAAGAATACACCAGCCCGAGAAGAAGTCGGTAGAATCAACAGTAAAGACAGTCAATAAACAATCACCAAATAGTGGGAGAAATCAAAACTATTGCTGGAGGCCCATCAACACCTTGTCAGGTTCTAATCGCAGAGAAAAAGGAGCCACCAACAAAAAAGCTTCATGTCGATCACTCCATCACCTTCAAGGAGTCCGATCT